TTATTTATTAAAATTTGTTTTAAAAATTTTTTTGTGTTAATTAAATAAATTCGCAGCTGTTATTTTGTTTTTTATTTTTTCATTTACTGATTGAATTATTGGTCCCCCCTCACCTCCCCTAAAACTAAGTTCAAATAAAATGCCTAAATTTTCAAACTGGCTGGTAACGCCGTCAGTGTGTAATTTGCCGTATTAAATGTGTGTATTGTTGTTTTTTTACTAAGCTAATTTACTTAGAATTAAGAGATTTTACAAACTAACTTTACCTCACTAACTAATGTTAATATCATACATACATATGTGWGTGTCTGTTTTTATGTATGTGTATTTGTATAGCTATGTATGTGTTTCTGTATTTTGTATGTGTTTGTATATTTCTGTTTGGGTCAGTGCGTCTGCATGTATTTMTTTCTGTTTCTGTTTGGTTGTGTTAGTATGTCTGTATATACACACTTATTTGTATGTTTGTTTTTGTTTCTATGTGTATGCATGTGTATTGCCCTTATTACTATATCTATTAATTATTAATATATTACTATATAACACAGATGACTTTATCTTTTGCTTGCATTTCTTACACGCCTTGCCCGCTCTCGAAACTCGTTCCCATCTTTTTTTTTGTGTTTTTTTTTTTTTTTTTTTTTTTTTTTTTTTTTTTTTTTTTTTTTTTTTTTTTTTTTATTTTTTGTTAGACATATTACTTACATATGCATATTTTTACACTTTCTCACTTTGCTCCATAAATAAAGACTGCTCCTGTGCCGTTTTTAACAACCTTTGCCTTCGTTCTTACTTTCCTTATTGATTTCGGTTTTCGGACCTGCACACATACTACCTTACTTGTAATTTGTTTGATCCTGCCCTGCTACATTTGTTTTCACTTCATTTTGACGATTTGTTTGCTTTTGCGTTTTGTTTTTTTTTGTTTTTTTGTTTTTATGCTGATGCGTATTACACCAACAGCATGCTTAAAAATATAATTTTAATTTTTAATTTTAGATTTTTCTTTTTGTTTTCAGTATTTTTTGTGGCTTATAAAAAAGTTTGATTCGCTTCTCATTTGCTTACATATATATATGTATGTGTCTGTTATGTGTTTSTGTGTTTATATTGTTGCTATTTCTGCTGAGCCTATTGGAAATCTCTGTAATTTTGCTAGTAAGTGGTTTAGAGTTGATTTTTTTGTTAGTGTTGCATAGTGAAAATTTTCCGTTAAGCATGTGTTAGTTTTGCTGTTGCTATTGTTTTTGCAAATTTTGATTATTAATGTGTCTATGGTTTTTGTAATAGTTTAGAGCTGCTGAATYGCAGTTTGCTGAATTTTTGCTGCTTTCCTCTGCCTCTGATCTCACCTTTGCTTACATATACATACATATACTTAACTATAAAGGCTAAGAGTTACGCTACACTACTTGCGTTATACTACAACATACACGCATTTAGATTGATTGAATTCATTGTTCTTACTTTTACTTTTTCCGTACATACATATGYATATTGTTGAATTATTGGTATATGTAAATGTGTGTGTATAACAACAAATATTTTTCAGAACTTGACATAATTAGGCCGAAATTAGTTTTGTAGTTAGCTTTAGAAAAATTTATATAAATTAAATAAAAGTATGCTAAACATTTTTTACACGCCGAGATTTTATAAAAAAAAGCGTAAATTGAAAGTGTATTTGCCGTTTTCTGTTATCTACTATTAAGAAAGTGAGCTTATGTTATAAATGTGTGTGAAGAATTTCCAAAGAAAATGACTAAAAAATTATTTATTTTTTTATAAAGCGCTTGGGCAGAGTCAGAGAATAAAATT